CTTTGGTAAACAGGTTTGAATCCTGTTTTTATGTTTCCTGTCAACGCATATGCTGACAGCTTGTTCTTGAAGTTTCCTAATAAAAATACATGGCCTTTATAATTCTTTCTGCTTTTGAAGAATAAAACACATGCTTACACTTTATGTGCCGAATATGGTATCTGGCTTCTTTGCTCTTGTCTGTCCAGTATGATTAATCTGTGTGTCCATGTGTGTCTAGGGCTCTATTAAAGACCAGCTGAAGGCATATGGAGCACTGACTGAAAAAGTGACCCGCAGATATACCCGACAGATCCTACAGGGAGTCCACTATTTGCACAGCAACATGATCGTACACAGAGACATCAAAGGTAAATCGCAGTAGTCATAAATCACCTCCAGCTAAGAACAGTGGGCTGTTGCTTTGTAATGTAAATCTGAAGGAGAGTGTCGCTTGCACCACACCACCTGAAATACATTCCTTCTAATTAGGTGAAATAACATTGGTTTGGTTCAGATTTGTGTTAATTCCTTTGCCAAAAATAGCAAGGGGGAAAGGTTTTGCATTCCTCCGGACTTTAGGGATAAATCCTGACCAAAATGAACAGCCAGTCTATTTTTTAAGAAAAAAAATGTTCTATTTAGCCAGCATTTTTTAAGAATTTATATTAAATGTCCTAAAATTATATTTACCTACCAAAAAATGTCAGCATTGCATCAACTAGACAAGGACATTCTTTATTAGCTCAGTTTCTTAAGAAAGGCAGACGTGGGCCCAAAAACTGGACGCTTAAAAATATTCTATATGAATGTAATTGCATTACATACATTTATTAAAAATAGCAAACCAGGTGACATTTATTTTAAAGAAACATGGCGCAATCACTTTAAGCAGAACATTTCATAAAAATACGTTTTAAAATATGCACACACAAAAAAAAAAAAATATATATATATATATATATATATATATATATTTTTTGTGTGTGCATATTTTAAAACTTATTTTTATGAAATGTTCTGCTATATATATATATATATATATATATATATATAGCAGTGTATAACAATATATATATATATGGTATCTAAAATATTCAAAAATATTATGTCCAAAAATCAAAAAATATTTTGTTCAATTTACAGTAAAAACATCAGGTGTGGTTGCCAGAAATTCACCTTAAAAAATGCAGTGTCAGTGTTGAGACAGATGACATATGGTGCTTGAATATTTGACAACTTATGACCGCATATTTCATTAAGTAATATAATGATAATATTCCAAGCTACTCAAAGTACCAAAAATTACGTATAATGCAGTGTTAAACAATTTATTGTGGATTTGTTTTTACAATATGTATTTTTTTTATTTTTGTAGAATTTATAATTTTTTTTACAGTGATGATTATAGATTATGTAGTGTTCAAAATGAACAAAAAAACTGAAAATAAAAAAATTGGTAGAACAAGAATTTAAAGTAATTGTAATTTTTTTTTTAGAAATGTTAAAGTAATGTTCCAGCAACACACGTTTGCAAAACTTCATCTGATACATTTACATTCAGACATTTGAAGTGGGTTCAAACACTTTTAAGGCCACATACTTTTTGCACACATGACCAATACAGTCTCTGTCATTCCCATAACAAACCGAAGATCCTCTATTGGAAATATCCACAATAAATGCTTGCTGCAAAGGAAGGAGTCTCTGTCCTTCCTCTCGTGTTCGGTCTTAATTTTCCATTCACAGTAAAGCCAGACTTCCAGGGTGTGGAAATCTTGTGGCTGGCGGGAATTAGTCACTACTCAAACAAGCACAAATCTCACAGGCAACACGGCTAAAGCAACGGAAAATCACTCCAACTAGAAGCGTGGGAGGAAAGAGTTAGTCTGAAGCTTCAAACGCCATCAGCCATAGGCAGCTTATAATTTGATGCAGTTGATGCATACAAACATCTCGACTGGTGTAACTCTAACTCTACAATCTACTCGTGTTTCCTCGCAGGCGCTAACATTTTGAGGGACTCCTCTGGAAATGTGAAGCTGGGAGATTTTGGGGCTAGCAAGCGCATTCAGACCATCTGCATGTCCGGGACGGGAATCAAATCGGTCACCGGCACCCCCTACTGGATGAGCCCGGAAGTCATTAATGGAGAAGGCTACGGACGCAAAGCAGATATTTGGTGAGATCTGTTGCATTTTATGCAAATCAGTGTTATTTTAGTATCATTGAGATACGATTTCATTGAGTTTCAATGTCCCTTACGTCTCTCTCTCTCTCTCCTCAGGAGTGTTGCCTGCACGGTTGTAGAGATGCTAACCCAGAAGCCCCCGTGGGCTGAATATGAAGCAATGGCAGCCATTTTCAAGATCGCAACCCAGCCGACTAAGCCAAACCTGCCCGAGGGTGTGTCCGACGCATGCAGGGACTTCCTGTGGCAGATCTTTGTGGAAGAGAAATGGCGGCCCACTGCCGAGAGGCTTCTCAGCCACCCTTTTGTCCAGGGCAGCTTCTGATCCTACAGATCTCTCTGGAATCCCCAGGGAAAACCACACACCTGCCCGGCACGGACGATCACCACTCTGCCTTCCAGGGTCCGGAGAAACCCACCAACCAGCCAACTAAGAACAAACGTGACCACAACGAGGGGGTATCTCCCTAACGCAGCTCGACAAATATCATGGACAGCAAAATGCTGATAGAGCTTCCCGTATTGTTAATCAGAGTCAGAGCCCTGTCCCAAATGATGCACTTCATTTCACGAACGTCATTTCATGAGCTACACCCCTTTTGCTAAATAGAGCCTTTTTACATTTGCAGGGCTCTCAGGAGCAGAAGTTAGGTAAACTTCTACAGCAAATATAATTTGGCATTCCCATTAGCTCCAAAAGCAAAATAAAAAAAATCCATGATAACATTTCCACGACTTTCCAAAAGAGGAAAAATAAAATGGAGAGATTAATTATAGCAGTCAGAAGAGAGAATGATGTCAAATGTCAGCAGTGTTAATTATTATTTTGTAATTTACTGTCAAGGTAACATAACAAATCATAGCACTATAAATACATATTAAATATAAAAATGAAAATATGACAAACTTATTGGGCACACTATTACCCAACATTCCTTGTGACAAACTGTATAAACTTTTAAAGGGCAGTGAGAGCTGAGAGTGGGTTGGTGACATCCCAGATCTATTAATTTATCCAAAAATAAATGTACATTAATTCAGTACAGCTGTTCTTATAATTAAGCCTCATTAAAATAACTAAATGTTGGGAAAACAACAACAACAACTTGAGTAGTTTGGCATAGTATAGAATTATTAATGGTTAAAAATAATAAATACTTTCAAAATGTTATATGCTTTGACTCCCGATTTAATAATTTATGGTATTTCTAAGAAAACCTTGTAAAAATCACAGCACAAAAAATGAGTTCACATTAATCACAAATATAAAAAATGATAAAGATGTGTGCACTCAATGTGTATTTAACATGTAAGGATGTTATTATTCTTTTTTACTTGATGGTTACACCACATTACATTTTTATAGGCATTTAAAAAAAAAATGGTATAAAGGTTTTATTTTAAACCATAAAAGGCATTACTAAAAACGTCCACAGTTTTATAGTAATTCACACGATTACAGTGCAGAGAAAAGCTGCCGTGTTTAATATTTGTAATAAACAAATCCATAGTTAACAAGTTTTGGACTTTCATTCTGACGGCACCCATTCACTGCAGGGGATCCACTGATGTAATGCTAAATTGATCCAAATCTGTTCTGATGAGGAAACAAATTCATCTACATCTTGGTTGACCTTGGATGACATTTTTGGATTAACTATTCCTTTAAACATACATTGTCTTATATGACATATTATATTGTCCAGATATAAATGTTAAACTTTAAACACTTGATTCTATGATTGCTGTTTTTTATGTTCTGAACTCGAAAAAATACGCCAGCAGCAATTCATGTTGCAATTAGTGCCTTCTGCGATGCCCTTATTCTGAGAGGTCAGTCATTTCAAAAACATTTAGCGGTGGAATGTGCTTTCTGATGTCCTTCAGATGGTTTCAGTATCTCGCATTGATGCTGTCAAGGACATTTGCTGAAGATCTTTTAGAGGATTAGAGGAAGAGGATTGTATTGTAAATACTTACTGTACCGAGCTGTCATAATGTTTCATTATATTCAAAGTACCTTAGTCACAGTATATTATTATTGTTCTGAATGTGGAGAGGTCTGGGTTTCAGATGAGCTCAGCTGAGGGTGAACAGACCACGCTGGTTTTTGAGGGGCTAAGAATGAAGAATTCTGTGCTGCCTTCATGAAAAAGCCTGGAACGTTTATCAGTGATTTTGTACATTTGAATAAATAAATCTATCGTCTAAAACCAGCTTCTGTGTTTATTCTGTGGGATTTGTTTTTTAACATGAAAAATTGTAATGCTATTAACGTTTCAGTAGCAAGTACATTATGATATAATGACTTAATCATATGCATATACATGCATTTACAGATTTTCATCTTTTGCATCATTTTTAAATGCTAAATTTTCATATCATTGCTCTTTTGTTGATTTTGATTGCTTCCATTGTCCTCATTTGTAAGTCGCTTTGGATAAAAGTGTCTGCTAAATGACTAAATGTAATGTAAAATGAGACCATTTTAAAATTAGCCTACATAATTAAGCTTACAGTGGTCAATAACACATTAATACACTTTGAATAACTAATATGAACTGAATGCATTTCATGCATAGGCTATTTTATTCCATTAGATACAAAATATCAAACATGTTGCATCTGCTAACAAATGATCCTGGAGCTGTTTTCTTTCTTTCTCTCAAATCTAACTTTTTAAAATCATTTTGGCAATTAATTGAGCAAAAGTTCTCAAAACGATTTTGAACAAATCTGACGGCCATGTCTATGAACACTAAGAACTATCTATTGTTTTAGCTTGAACCTATTTGATTTGTTCATATGAAATAATCGTTATTTGTTGTAAGTGATATATTTGTTACATCGTGTAAAACATTCCTGTTCATGTTTAACTGTAGCTAGTCTAAATGCATTTACGTCGTTATTTGAAGAGTTCATTGACAGCAAGTTTAGTAAGAAGGGCACGCGACGCACATGCGCTTTCAGACCGCACGTTCGGGAACCTCTCACGCACGTGACCTAAACGTGCCCTGACACACTTCCAGTCTTCCACGGCTGGTCTGTCTGTCTGTCTGCATGCTCAACATAAACACGAGCGCTTGAGACTTCTTTAAAGACCTATTTCCAGGATGTCCGCTTCTCGTACGGTCATATGTCTGCTGAGGAACGACCTGCGTCTGCATGATAACGAGGTAACGTTACTGTAACGGGAACAAAGAAGCGTACAGTCTGTTTCTCGAGCAAAACACACTCGCTCCTAAATCAATATGCTTAAACGTTATTACATCATACGCTGCTCGAGATATAACAAGTTGCAATTATTCTCTCACTAATAATACCTTTTTTAACCATAAAACAGAACAGGTGGGAATAATAAATGTAGTTCGTTTAATCTATTTGTGTTGCAAAACATCATGTCCATATGAAGCCAAATCTGGGCGCTCATTGGGTGGTTTGTCGGTAATCGTCTCAAGGGGCGTGGCCACATGATAAAGCTTGTATGGAGGACTAAACTTGCAAATAGATATACCCCCGGTTTCACAGACGAGGCTTAAACTTAGTCCCAGACTAAAATGGAAGTTAGTCTGAGCTGTTTCAACTGAAAGAAACGTGCACTGATTGATCTTAAAAAATATCAATGCCTTTGTTTTGTCTCAATAGTAGACAAGTAATGTTTTTTTACTAAGTCACATTTATAAAAATTACTTTAATGTCCTATGAACTATGGCCTAATCCTGGCTTAGTCTAAGCCCTGTCTGTGAAACCAGGCCATACTGTTTATAATAAATGACTCGGTGCATAAATATATATATTTTACATTCAGCTGTATTTTTAATGCTGTCTTTAATTCATTTGTTTTTTGTAATAATTTAATATGAGACAGCAAAATGCACGGACAAAACTCAAAAGTATGTGTATTTCGATTTGTGGGGTGATATTGTGGAATAGATTAAACGGATATATCAAGGAAAGTGTTAATATGTTGCAATTTAAAAGTAGGTATAAAAGATTTATTTTTGATAAATACAGAAGTGGGGGGTGAGAGTGAGAATTTCAACATTGTTGTTAATGCTGCTTGATTTAGTTTCTGTTTGTCTTCTTTATCTTAATAGATAAAGTAGGACGTAATTTGGACTAATATTTTTGTATTATTCAAAATGTTATGTCTGATTTATTATGGCTGATTGTGATTTGGTATTGGTAATTACTGAGGGTAGGATTTAATAAGCCTAGGGCTTCTACCTACCCTTTTTTATTTCGAACAGGTTGAATATATGTAAAATAAAAAAAATAATAATAATAATAATTTATATTTGTTGATTTTTTTTTTGTGTTTTTTTTTGTATATTGGTATTTATTTGTATATTTATTATGTGTTTTTTTCCTTTTGTATTTTTAAATTGAAAAAAATATATATTTATATAGTATATCGCTCGCTCTCTCTGGCAATAACATTTAAAACTAAGTAAATATAATAAATTATTACAAATACAAATGAATTAAGGGGAGAGCTTTAATACAAAAATGGAAATGACATTTATTAAATATTAAATCATATCTAATGTTTGAATTATATTTATTCAATTTAAAAGTACTTTATTAGCATGATTGTGTTTACATACGATATTATGTATGTATGTAGGTATAAGACACCTAGCAAACCTTTAATCTGTTCAATTAGTAAACAAATGTTAATTCTATGAACTGGGCAAATGAACTGCAGTGCTTGCTTTGACAAGTTAAGCTTTGTTGGACCTATTAGAAAAACATGACAAACTGGTTTTGTTTTACTTCATTCATCTAGGTGTTTCATTGGGCTCAAAGGAATGCCGATCACATAATCCCCCTCTACTGCTTCGACCCGCGGCATTACCAGGGCACCTATCACTTCAACTTTCCTAAGACTGGTCCGTTCCGTTTACGTTTCCTCCTGGACAGTGTGAAAGACCTGAGGGACACACTGAAGAAACGGGGCAGGTGGGAATTTCATTACACACTTTCTGTCTACATACTGATGTTATATGATTAATATGTATTTATATGCCTTTGTGCAGCACACTGTTGGTGAGACAAGGGAAGCCGGAGGATGTTGTTAGGGATTTGATTCAGCAGCTGGGTTCAGTCACCGCTGTGGCTTTTCATGAGGAGGTGCGTTTCAGAGCCATTAACAGCCAGCATTGATCATATAGGCTCTGTGGCCACATACAGTGCTGAAAGCTGGGAATGTAAAGTACCAGTCTGACACTTTCTGTCTATTTCCTGAAGGTGGCGTCAGAGGAAAAGTCAGTGGAGAAGAAGATAAAGGACATCTGCTGCCAAAACAAAGTCAAAGTTCAGACTTTCTGGGGTTCCACACTTTACCACAGAGACGATCTGCCATTCAGTCACATTAGAGGGTAGGACAAGTGTTGCAGTGTTATTTTACTATTATTTATATACTATTATAGTATATATTAATATTTTGAATAAGCTTATTTTTTATATTGTCAGTTTTCATTTTAATTGTAAGTTTTGATAATTTTGTTATGTGCTTTTTTCAAGTTTATTGTTTTTTTTTTTATATTTAGTTTTTGCTCCCATTTATTTTTTTGTTTTTAAGTTAAAATTTTAGTTTTGAGTTTTTTTTACGTTTAAAGGGGTTATATGATGCTGCTAAAAAGAACATTATTTTGTGTATTTGGTGTAATGAAATGTGTTTATGCGGTTTAAGGTTAAAAAAACACATTATTTTCCACATACTGTACATTATTGTTTCTCCTCTACCCGCCTTTCTGAA